CTGCCAGGAAATGACGCTCATAATTCAAAACGGACGGTGAAAGTATCTACGGGCCGAGTAAGGTTAAGTTTTTACGTTTATACCTACATTTATAATGTAACTAGCTGATTACCGCAACTACGTTTGATATTTTTTGAAATTAAAGAGAGCCTACGTCTGTTATAGTCAAAAAAATATCTGAGTGGGGTACCTCACTCTCACTTATTTCAGCTACCAAGCAGTTGCATTGTTTCGTATCGTGTATCATATCAGCACTATGACATGTATCATGTCATAATATAACGTACCCAGAATTGCTCCAGGTGGCAATACAAAGGACTAAAATATAATGCCTATGTATAACATACTCTATATATCTCAATAACTGACAAAGATGCTACGCGACCGACTGAAATTGGTGGGATAAAGGTACCCATATAGACAACGTAGTACAAAGTCTACTTTTTTGTTTTATTACAGTAGTTGCGAAATATTACTGATAATTACGCCAAAACTACGACAGAACCTTCATTTGTATTTTGAGTTTAACAGTAACTTCTTCTCAGTGCTCCGTCAAATGCGGATTCAAAGAAATTATGATTAATCACTAAAGTTTCTTGTTTTATGATAAATGATTTAATTTCGCTGCTCGGGACCACGATCATTGAATACCAACTAAATTTAAATCCATATTTGTTCATAAATAATATTGCTTTCTTTACATTTATGCATGAGAATAATTTTTTGTTAAATAATTTCTTTCAGTCTATATTATATTATAGTCAAAGGATTATATTTATAATTCTCGATGTTGTTTGATATCTTCTCGGAAACAGAACCATAATTATTTTCAATTACTCTAGTAATGAAATAAAACAACGTATACTTACGTAAATGACACCAGAATAACCAAGTTAAAACATAACTTCATATTTATTATGATTAGGTATATAAATTGTATTTACGTAACAGAATCAGGATAGTAATGCAAAAATCTTGTAGCTGCGTTAGTAACTTCCACCAGGCGACGCAAGCTCGTGAGTAGATTATCGCGTGCCTCATTCCATCCGGTCTGAGCTTTCCGTTCTACATAACCGTTTGATATCAAACAAAATGTAGGTACCAAGCAAATCAATACTTAAGGAAAATATTATCTCTATAGGTATTAGGGAAAGTGTGCGTGCTGCGTGGATGCGTGAGGTTGCGTTTGAGTCAAGTATATTTGATAGCGAGTTAGTGATCTTGTTCACCAACACGTACGAAGTTCCAGAGGATCTTAATAATGTAAATGCAAAAGTTTTAGTATGAATATTTGTAACTCTTTCACACAATAACTACTAAACGGAGTAATCTAGCTTATTGAAAGTTAATGCCGATGAAACCGCGGGTACTGCAAGTATATAATAATAATAATAATTCTTTATATAATTGTGCTAAACAAAAGGCGGCTTTATAGCTTAAAGTAATATATTAAAGATAACCTATATTCACTTATAAACACGCATCGGTACAATTTTATAACATAGCATTTAATTTATTAGGTAATATACGAGCGTGTTTAACTCTATTTTAGTCATGGTAAGGGGACAGAAAGTATACAAAAAAACAAAAAAGGTCTACCTACATTGAATAATAGGTAGCTATAGTAATTACTAGTCATTCATTTCATCAAAACGTGTATCTTATCAGTATTATTATCATGCATAATAAAATACTAAAATTAAAAAAAATAACCCATATTACTATATTTTATTACATTTTATATGTTAAATGTACCTTTTGAGGATTTTAAGGTTATTAAATAAATAATCGTGATAAGTCACCATTCATTATATCATAATCATCTGCTTCTTTCTTATTCTATGCAGTTGGGGTCGGCGTAATACGTGTATCTGAAAATGAATTTTATTTATTTTCCTTATTTCAACCGCCAAACACCTTGCATTCTAAGTTGTGTCTCGGATAAAGGTATATAGACAGGTAAGGCAGTAAAATTACAGGATATGGAGGCTTAACATCTTAATCCTCCAGAATAGCAAGACATGAGTAGAATAGAATAGAATAGGAAAATCATTTATTCAAATAAATTTACATTGAAGCACTTTAGTTGAATAGTCACTACATTTTTTTAATCTACTGCTCATTCGGAAAGCTGTCTCATCACAAGAAGAACGAGCAAGAAACTTGCCTGTTGCTTTTTTAAATAATTTTATTATTACATTTTTAGGTTTAACAAACAAACACAATTAGCACTAATTCAATTAAATACTCAAATAGAAAAAATATTGAATATATAACCAACTGGTTAAACAATTAATAAGAGAAAATCAGCAGCAAACAAGCATCACCCGTTCACGAGTATGACGGATGAGCCAGCCATCATTGCGCTCGACCATATTTTAGACTAATGACCTGGCCCACCACGCCACCACAAGTCCGGACATTTTAGTGAGCATGACTACTTAGAAGACTAGACCACGTCATAGCTACTTACAATTGCCCTCTGCGGCTATAGCATTCACATTTTACATAGCATGCAGAATGCATGCGGCAATCAATACAAAAAGCGCTACGCTTTCATTTCTAAAATTTCATATTCTCTAAAAAAGAGAAAAATAAATTATAACGTTGTATGCTAATAAACTAATTATTTACTTGATATGTTGTCATCTATGAATTCGTCTATCCTGTAATAGGCTTTCTTACACACAAATTGTTTAATATAAGATTTGAATTGCCTCTCTGTGAGATTTAGTGTAGATTCTGGCAGTTTATTATAAAATCTTACGCAATTACCGTAGAATAAATTACTGATTTTGTGCAGACGGCATTTAGGTAAAATGAGTGGTATAACAGGCGTTATGTGACAACATGATGTCCGTAGTGCTATTCAGAATGGTATCTATATACCATACCATTGATGTCTACTTAGTTTGGAACTTGATAGCGCTGAGTGATATGTCTATTTATTGTTTTATTTTTTCCTTAGTTATTATGAAATAACCTAGATAAATGAATGAATTAATATGATCATATTGAAATGTATCAGAATTTCATTGTTATCGTATTACAAATCTACAAGTTGCTACAAAACTGTTGTAGATTGCAATCACCATTAGTATGTTGGATCGATACATTGACCTATTAGGTCGACAACGATCGTAACAGTAACAAGGACGGGGTTGCTACGCGGTCACGGTCGTCTCGTGACATTTGTTCACGTACACTTGAACGGTGGTTAGTTTACTTGGGAGTTCACATGCGTGGGATCTCTAGACTGTAGTCAAGGGAGTACCTTGACTGCAGTCAAGGATTTGCCTTGACCACAGTCAAGGATGTGCCTTGACTACAGTCCAAGAATCCCACGAGTAAAATCCCGCCTATTCCTATAATACCTATTTATCTTGTATGGGGTTAGTTGTAAAGTAAGGATAAAGCAAGCCAACAGCTGAGTGGAATATCCCTTTCGATAAAGTAACTATAATGAAGAAGCAAAGTGGAAATCGAAAAGAAAACATAACTTTCGTACTAAATTGGTTACGTAATCACACAATTTCTACGAAGGTGTTAAAAATTATGTTCAGTTTACTTTTTTTTTTGGGGAACAATTAGCTTTAAAAGTACACTATCATTAGTCTTTTGGCTTAATGTACTCTTTAGGTCTAACCCTGTATATAGCACAATGAGAAGAAAATAAACACCTCTATTTCTATATATTTATATTTTGAGAATCTTTGGGGTTCTTACTTAAGAGTTTAATTAAGTGGTTCTCAAAATATTGTTACCATAAATTATTGGAATAATTTTTATTACCATAATTTAGGCCTTTTATTTTGAAAGCTTAATAAAAACAGAGCAGGAATTACATTTTGATCAGTAAGTTATAGAAAACAAAATCGGTTATGTCTCGTGTACCTATAATGACGTTTTAGAGCCCCAGGTGTACAGATCGATTCACTAAAAAAGCGACATTTCTTTACACTTGTTCTATTCATTAACTGTTCATTATTATTATTATTAGTAACTACTTAGTTATTGTACTTTTGTACAACAATTGCTTCACATACATTTTTATCGCAGTTATCTTTTTAATGATTACATTTTAAACGATATAGATTTGATACCAATCGGAACTATATCTTTGAAGTATTATATTGCATATTGTACTGCACTTACTTCTAATTACTAACCAGAGTGTCTTATTAAAATTAGCTAATATTGATCTATTAGTAAATATGTTTACTTTTATAAAGTTTCTTTATTCTATATACTTTAATAAGGTACAGAATATATTTATGAATGGCCTTATCTAGATGACATGCAAATTTATTTCATAATAGCCTTGCCATCGACTTCGTGATATTATTGTATGCTAAACACCAAATTATTTACTAAATAACACCAAGCGGGGAAGCTATAAATAAATATTATTAAACAAATGTGAATGGAAATAAATGACTTACGAAAAAATATCGAAGAATAACAATAATAATTAACTAATTTATTGAGACAAACGTTACTTAATATACTAGTCGTATATTACTATATATACTATAATTTAACGTTATTTTTGATCTTAGGCAATATTTGCTTTTGTTATTCGAGATACTGTCTGTGCGGCAGCGGCAGTGGCCATGCGGCTTTGCCTGTTTGAACTCAAGTAATAAATATTCCATGTGTTCTTAAATCTGTTATATCTTTACAATCACATTCATATTAATAGGGTAAAGTACGAAATATGATTGTTGAAGTTTCTTATGTCCACATGCTTTAGCATCGTGATGTTGCAATATAATTGTAAACAAAATTTTAGATACGGATTACACTTTCATGACCATACAGGAAAAATGAATACTATTATTGTGAAAGGGTTTTTTTTTAATATCATCATTCTATGTGGATTAATAAAATTAATAGTTTTATTTACCTGATACATATAACTACTTGTACAATAATAAATTATAGATAATCTGATTACAATAGATATCTGTTAAAATGATATCATCACACTAATATATATGTTGGGTGTTTGTGTTAGGTGTTCAGAACTGAAGTGACGAGTCAAAATCAAAATGCGTTCCATATTTGTGTGTTTGACTATTATCGCTGCTGTTGCAGGTAAGTTATATTATATATTTATTGTTATTTTATTTGACAAAATGAACATTAAGGAACAAGGTATTTTTTATTAATGTAAAAATAAACGATTAAGACTACAACAAAAATACATATTGTATGTATTTTTGTTGTAGTCGTTGTAACTTAGTTGTTGTAACTTTTTGTTGATCTGTAATAGTCAGAAAATTGAGTTGGCAAGTATTTTTATTGAAATAATAGTTAATTTCAATAGAAAATACTGTAACAGAAAGATTTTCGCCCTAATTAATTACTTATATATTATAGTATCTAATAACAAAGTTAATTATAACTATATTATAAAAAACACTTTTTTCAGCTGTACCAAGGAACCCGCAGCGTATAGTTGGTGGTTCAGTGACTACTATCAATACTTACCCTGAGATCGCTTCTCTCTTGTATTCATGGAATGGTGTATCATTCAGCCAATCCTGCGGAGGATCCATCCTTAACTACAGATCTGTCTTGTCTGCTGCTCACTGCTTTATGTAAGTTAATTCAAACAAATATTTATAAACGCAATCTATTAAATGTAATTTTAGATTTAATGTTTTGGATCATGTCTTGAAGAAATATATAATATGGACGTGGATAGATGAAAAGAATTAAATAATTAAAGAATTTATTTAAACCAAAAACAAAGTTATAATTATAAAATGTAAACAACTACATTAGTTTATAAAAACTGTGTTGCAGCTATTTAAGAGCATCTCCCTTTTTTAAATACAATTTAAAAAAAGGGAGAGGACGACCAAAAATAGATAAATGGATTGTGTGAAAGACGATATGACTAAAAGGAGAGTATGCTCAGATATAACTACTGATAGGGATCAGTGGAAAAGGATGACATACTGCACCGCCCCAAATAATGGGATAAAGCCAAGGCAATGAATGACCACTATGACGATTATTATTTAAAGTTTTATTAAAATGGCCTTAGGGATATTGTTTTTAATGAAGAAAGGACAAAGAAAATTACTGACTTCTCTTGAATTAATTTAGTTCAATTTGTTTACCATCATTAAATATTCACAACACTTTCGGGGCTGAAATTTGATAACCGATAACTAAAAAACTACTTTTATGGCTACAAGTTTGTATCTTGTTAGTAAAATCTTATGACTAATCAGGACTATATCTAATCTATTGAAGGGCTTGGGCACTTTAAAATATCAAGCCTCTATATATATGAATATGACCAAGAACTATTAAACTGATAACAGACAAAATATGATCATTGATAATAAGCTTTATAAGACCCAGTTACACGGGTTCATGGACTAGTCCCTGTCGAATAGAAAGGTCTGACAATCCTTTATGTACTGGTATTGTACATACACGCCTTTTTTTCATCGTGTAATGTAATGTAATGTAATGTAATGTAACACCACTTCATCGTGTAAGTGAAATGGCAAACAATCTTATTGTCTTACCTGAGGGTAAGTGGTAACCGTCGATATTTAAACAGAACTATGAACATCTCATTATTCTATGAAGCCCTTGATATCTCTCCTGGTTTACCATTTCGGAGAACTAAAGTGACTGTATAAAATATTCTTTCACTGCCTTTAACCAAAATCAATTTTACAAAGCTATTTGCTTGGTTGTAGATAAGATGGAGATGAAGATTTATCTAGGTATACCACAAATAATTAAATATCTAATCCTGTTCTTACAGTGGCGATCCAGCTAATAGATGGCGAGTTCGCGTTGGCTCCACATATGCTAACAGTGGTGGTATTATCCACAATGTTGCTGCCATCTTAAACCATCCGTACTACAATTCATATAATGCAGACAGTGACATCTCCATCCTGCGTACCGTCTCAAACATTGTATACAGCAACGTCATCCAACCTGCGAGTATAGCTAGTGCCAACTACAACCTTGCCGACAATCAAATCGTTTGGGCAGCCGGATGGGGTGCCATATCTGTAAGTTCCCTAGTATTTTTATATCTGTAATTTTAGTTTACCTTAAACTATTTTTAGTGTCCTTTTAAAAATCATAAGTAAAACATTTTATCAAATTAATTGAAAGTGTATATAGCTCATTTGAAGGGCTGAACTTCAGTAAAAATATCGTGGACTTTCTTTTATTTTAACTTTCTTTTTCTTTTATTTTTTTCTCAATGTAACTCAAATTTTTCCCTAAGTTAAAGAATCTCAACAGTACGAAATTATATCGCTGGCATTTGTTTATCCACTAAGTACTGTACTTGGGGTCTTATGTTTTTGTTAATAGAAGATCATCTCAGTATATGAATTCCAACTATGGTAATAAATATAAAGATACGAATAGTAATATTTATTTTTCTATTTTAGTACGGTGGACCTGGTTCGGAACAACTTCGACATGTGCAAATATGGACCATCAACCAAGTGACATGCAGGAACCGTTATTCAGAGCTCGGCCTCGTTGTCACCGACAACATGTTATGCTCCGGCTGGTTGGATGTCGGCGGTCGCGACCAGTGCCAGGGTGACTCCGGGGGTCCTCTCTACCATAACAGAGTCGTGGTTGGCGTTTGTTCTTGGGGTGTGCAGTGCGCTCTCCCGCGCTACCCTGGTGTCAATGCTCGAGTCTCGCGCTTTACTGCTTGGATACAAGGAAATGCTTAAATTATAATATTTTAACACCTGTCTAGTCTGAAGTTATTGTTAGTAATAAAGTATTATATATTATTTAACAGTTAAAAATAATGTTTAAGACTTATTAAATATACAATTGTTTTGATTTTATATTCGATTTCGTTTTATTTAATGTCTAACTAACTACATATATTATATTATGGCTTAAAAAATTCAAAACTGTTTAATATTATCAAAACGTCTAATATCAATGTGAACATGTATATATATATATAATAATTATTTACATATATTATATTACAAACGTGATAATTTAACTGTCAAAAAAAATGGTAAAATTTCTGAACTCAATAAAAATAAAACGTGGTATTATCAAAAATTCTTTTTAAGTCGAATTTAAAAATACAATATAAAAAAACAAAATGTGAACATGACAAGTGGTAATATAAAACCTAATCTCCTGTATGCATGAAGTATGTATAATATAAAAATGTATAATAAGAGATTGATTTAAATTGATTATAACATTAATTTTCAATATCTGATTTGATTTTGATAATTAATGTTATGATCAATTTCAATCAATACTTTTGAGTATCTATAACATTACAAACATAAAATTAAATATTTCTCTTCAGATATATAAAACTATTATTACAAGTATTAATTTGTAATATACATAGTTACCAGTTTGTCTGTAGTGTTTGTGTGTAGAACATTGTTTTTAAACGATAAGACGGTCTTTTATAAGGACATCTATGCATAGTGTTCTTTTGTACTTATACTTTTTGTGCCCATTAATATAAATAGTTTTTATTATTATTAACTACATGTTTTCATCTGACATCATCTAGACATTATATTCCAAACATATAATCCCATCTCAGTGAATAAATTTCATCCAATATACTTAAGAACTTACTAAGTAATTCTGTAAATTATATGAAGAATGGTTTTATATACATTACATAATTACATAACAGATATAATACACTAATACTACAAGCATATATATTAATAAATGACCATATTCTGTCATTTATGGCACTATTGAACCCTGTCCACTAAGCCTGTATCATCGAGTGCAATCAAATTAATCTATAAAATAAGGATAAAAATCCGGTCTTGATTGTTGTATATGTTACATTGATGCAGTATTACAAATAGTGTAAAAAATATGAGACAAGAATAGCAAACATACTGGCGCTAATGGAAAGTAGTAAAACTGTTAATTATATGATATGATACATAAACAGCATCACAAAATGCATTACCCGCATCACCATTCGTGCGCTGCTAATTGACGACTACTTACAACATATCATTAAAAACAAAACACTATCAGACCAAACTATTGGTAGCATTAATTAATGAGGCATCCATACAGTTTACTTATATTCTATTTAATTAATAATAATTATAATCTCATCATCTAGACCCAGTTAAACTAGCTAAAGCTTGTGATATGGGCACTGGATAACTGATAGGTACAAATACATAGATTTTTTTTTGTAAATACATACATACTATAGAAAATACCCAGACCTATACAAATAATCATACTCATGAATACAAATGTTTGTGCCGTGCGAGGAATCAAACCCGAGACCGTTTGAAGTAAAGAGGTGTGCTACACTGCTAGGCCACCAAGCCCGTCAAATGCCTTAATTACTGCTGGTCGCCTCCGTGCAATCATCCTTTACTGAAAACTAAAAGTGCGCTTTAAATTTATGAAGAGATATACTAATTTACAATGGTAGACTTCGTGAAAAGTCGTCTTCATAGGTATTTCTATTCACGTATTATATCCACCACTTTCCTTACTTTTTAAACTGTGTTTTGGTTGAGGAGTGAGATAACACAGTGAAATCACAGAATAAGAGGTATGACATCTTAGTCTTCTGAAATGGCAACGCATTAATGGTATCTTGGGGGTGACTTGTGTGTTGTTCTTATATATAGGCGTCGGTTACTGTCAGGTGGCCCATCAGTTTCTTTACTATTCTCATTACATCTCATAAAGATAATATTATTTACGGGATTTATATAATACGAAAACATACGAATAAAAAAAAACTGCATTAAAATCCAGAATCCGACATATCCTTCATTTACATCGTATGCTCTCGATAGATATATGCATATAAATAAACAAACAAGTTCAAAGTGACAACACACTTTTTACATTTTTGATTCATTTTAGGTAGTTATAAACTAAATAACAATTAAAAAGTGTATTTTCATTTTAGTAATAACCTAATCTAAACTAGATTAGTTTATATTTTTTTTTTATGAAATCATTAATCTTACTAATATTATAAACGCGAAAGTTTGTGAGTTTGGATGGATGCATGTCTCTTGCACACAAATACTACTGAACGGATTTTCGGAAACGGATGAAGCTATACCATACCTATAAATTTCATGCGGGTCAAACCACGGGTACAGCTAATATAATATAAAAGTAAAAATATGCCTGTTAGTATATAACAATAGTGAAAAAGTAACAATAATAAAGAGTGAATGAGTATTTATGGTATTAGGTAAATTGAATAATCTAAATATATATAACTCAAAGGTGACTGACATAGTGATCTATTAACGCACAGCGCAAACCACTGGACGGATCGGGCTGAAATTTGGCATGCAGGTAGATGTTATGACGTAGGCATCCGCTAAGAAAGGATTTTGATTAATTCTACCCTCAAGGGAATAAAATAGGGGATGAAAGTTTGAATGAAACTTTATCAATATTAGACCGATCGGGCTGAGACTTTGCATGCATAAAGCTACTATGACGTAGGCATCCTCTAAGAAAGGATTTTGATAAATTCCACCCCTAAGGGGATAAATTAACGCGAGCGTAGCCACGGGCAAAAGCTAGTAATGAATAAAATCCTTAGAATATATGTACATAGTCTTAATATTTGTTTTTATACCGATTGATAATGTGGAATCCTATTAATCTCTTTGAACTAAAAATTACTAAACGGATATGAATCAAATTTTATGTATAGAATGAGCATACCTACCTAAGATATACCTAGATTAGCATTGTACATAGCATAGCATAGCGTAGGATACTTTTTAACCGAATTCAATTGTGCAAAGCTGCCGAATACAGCTTTAGAATATTATATTGGAATGATAAAATTCCTGTACGGAACAGTATAAATACTAAGTGATATTAAGGATTAGAACAAAAGAGAGTACCGTATTGTCGCAAATATTTTACTAAGGCCAAAGGTCAAATCGTAAAGATTTTAATTATAAAATTCATAGACAATAAAAAAAATACAAAATAGTTTCCGTCAATTACCTCACAAGATCTGTCACCACAAGTATTTTTTTAATGCATATAATATGAATAACAAACACTACAAACGTACTGCATGACCCATGATTAGCATTTGTAGTGTCACTATAGAAGAAAGTTTTATCTACGACTCTTACATCACTTCACATATAAATACAATAAAACCTGTGTACGAATGAGAAGAATGAAAAGAAAATATAGATTTACTCACTATTCAAACTTCAATACAAAGAAAAGTTTATAAAACCATAATATCTATATAAATACGAAAAGTGGATAAAAATTAATGAATTTTTATTTCATTGAATTATTTCTACTTAACGTTGTAACTGTGATATTCTATTATTAAAATGTACTATATGTCACTCAACACTGGATGGATTTGAATGAAATTTGTTACACAAGGACATCATAGATTACCAAATAGTTATTATATTTGGTAAACTTAATTCAAACAGCAAAATTCACAAAATATCCCTTTTTATTTTCATATATAACTTACATTAATATTAACGTAAATAGTCAAATAAATTAAAACAAGTATATGTTTAAAATAAGTTTAAAGGAAATATTTTTAATGTAATGTATTTATTTAAATTTTAACAAAACTATTTGCACTTATTTACTTTCATCATACACAATGTAATAATAAAACACTGTACAACACACAATAATAATTCGGATTCCGTAAATATAATCTCTTTGTACGTCGTTTGTCTTCCCTATAAATACAATAAATTACCCTGAAATTTCTTATCGTCCCTAAAATTTGATCAATTAATCCACATTTTAATAAAAACAAAAACTGAATATTCTAATTTATTTATTTTCTGGAATATATTCTAATTTTGTTCCAAATTTTATTTCTAAATTTACAACTTGTTTAACAAAACTGGTGTTGTTATTAAAACACTCGTACCAAGTCTGAGACTCAACGTAATAATTTCAGTACCTGCGTGATATTTTGTTAATTCGTAATAATACAGGGAAAACCTTTATAAATATCGTTATCGGAAAGGGGTTTTTGACTCGGTGTTTTAAAGGTATAAAATGATAATTTATATTATGTAGATTAATAAAATCAATCTGATTATATAAGATAGCAATTACAGTGATACGTTTGAAATGGTATAAATATCGAGTATTTGCGATTGCTTTTCAGTTAAGTGAAGAAGACAAAATGCGTTTCCTAGTTGTTTGGTTGACAGTCATCGCTGCCGTCGCAGGTGAGTTACGAGCTTTATATACTTATATGACACCATATATGTGTATATACATACATATATATTGCAGTACATTTAAATATCTAGCTTATTAAATCTTACAGATGTTATATTCTCCAAAAGGACTATATTTTCAATTAATATATTTAAATAATATAAAATATTTTCCACTTTTGTATTACTTATAATGCTGCAATGATTTTTTTATTACTATCATCAATTATATTATAATTACTGTATAAGATGTAATGTGATTAGGTTCGATGTTTAATTCAAAGTACTATTACTTAAAATAGGGTTTTTACATATCATTTGAAATAAAAAACGAAACATTGTAATATAATTAATACAAATTAAATGTGACTTCTTAATACTTATATGAAACAATATTTTAATAGTATATAATAAAGTTAATAATGTAGTAAACACTTAGAAATTATTATTTAAGAAATCAACTCATCATCTTTTCAACTCTTCATCTTGTTACTTTTAGCTGTACCCAGGAGCCCACAGCGTATCGTTGGTGGCTCAGTTACCAACATCAACAGCTACCCCGAGATCGCCTCACTGCTGTACTCATGGAACGGATCAACATTCAGCCAATCCTGCGGAGGATCCATCATTAACAACAGATCCGTCTTGTCTGCTGCCCACTGCTTTGTGTAAGTTTATACAAATTACGAGTTACATTACATAATAAATGTTCGGCAAAATATTTAATACCACAAATGTTAAACGAACTTGCTATATTTATCTTCTTATAATGAATGAAACAAATTTTAAAATCCATTCGTGTCAGTTGCATATATAGTGTTAATATTGTAGCAATACGTATGTCTAAAAATACATAGTCGCGTGTTGATAAGTGAATTGATAATATGTTGAATAAACCTTAAAAATTTGCAAATATTTTCGGATTTCTTAATTTATAACTGGAGTGGTATATGAGCTGATTGTCAACGTGATACTTTGGTATATTGGTATATGTTACTAATACTTATCCACTTCTTACAGTGGTGACCCAGCCAACAGATGGCGTGTTCGCGTTGGTTCTACCAATGCTAACAGCGGTGGTGTTGTCTATAATGTTGCCTCCATCATCAATCACGGCAGTTACAACAGTGGAACCCAAGACAATGATGTTTCTATCTTGCGTCTTGCTTCAAACATTGGATACACCAACGTTATTCAGCCCGCTACCATAGCTGGTTCCAATTACAATCTTGCTGACAATCAAGTCGTATGGGCTGCTGGATGGGGTGCCACATCTGTAAGTATATCTTCACAGTGGATATCCCAGCTAGGGTAGTCATAGACAATTTCAAATATGGTCATCGACGTGAGTACAATACATAGGAGTTACTTTATTTAATCTAATTTAAATCTAAAGATCACTTTATTTTACGAGTTGTTCATTAATTTTGTAATAGGAATACGCAAAATGTAAATACAGTGGTTCTTAAGTGGAAAATCAAAGAAGGTAGGAAGGAAGGAAGGAAGATCTAACCTATAACATGGATGTAATAATATAACTGTATTAATATGGAGTATTATATTCTATTTTAGTTCGGTGGACCTGGTTCTGAACAGCTTCGCCACGTACAAATCTGGACTATCAACCAAGCTACCTGCAGAAGCCGCTACGCCGAGCTTGGACTTGGTATCACCGACAACATGTTGTGCTCCGGCTGGTTGGATGTCGGCGGTCGCGACCAGTGCCAGGGTGATTCTGGCGGTCCTCTCTACCACAACAGAGTCGTCGTCGGTGTTTGTTCTTGGGGTGTACAGTGCGCTCTTGCTCGCTACCCTGGCGTCAACGCTCGTGTCTCCCGCTACACTACCTGGATCCAGAACAACGCTTAAATCATACAATTGAAATATTCGCATATTCTACACTTATTGCATTAACAATAAATATAGACTATGCGGATTATAACTAATTTATCCATATTGTAATCATTAAATTACAATATTATTGTGTAAGAATAAATATACTGATTCTGAAATATGTTTACGTTTCATTTATTCATATTTATAACACTTTGTTACACTATTTACATTATTCTTACCAACATTGAAAGCAAATGACACAAGAAAATATTAAAATAAAAGTAAGTTCCTACCAAAACGCCGTTTGATCGCTAATTTCATTTTTCTTATGTCAACCTTCCGGAGAACTCTTTGTATCAAAGGTCAATGATGACTACAAAAACTTCATTTATAATATACACAATGAATAAATGAAAAACTATTTATTGTTCCTCTACAATTACATAAAGCATTATGTACATCAAATATTAAAAAGCAAAACAACAATTACAATATAATCTAAATATTTAAATAAATTAACATATTCTACATATATGGTATATATGTAAAAATACAAACATAAATAAAATTATTATTTCAAAAGTAATGATAAATACCCTAATCTATATTACTGTAAAGTTTCATCAAAATATTTTCAGTAGTTTTTGCGCGAAAGAGTAACAAATACCCATCTATCCATACTCACAAATAATAATGTACATCTTTTTACTTTCTTATAAACAAAAATGTAAATAAATGGTAAATACGTAACTAACTATTCAGGTTATAAATAATTTACTTTGCGAGAGCTTAATGTCGGTGCTAAAGGTCAATAGGTTTTAATAGAGTTCACTGGAATCATACAAATCAGGAGAACTTCGTATAATCACAGATAACATAATATTCATAGTAGGTATAATCATATAATTAATTGAAAGAAGGGTACGCAACTTAACAATATATTAAGGTACTTAGAGTTCGCACATTACTGTAAACTATAATTATGCTATATTATATGTAATGCTAATATAGTGCTTTCAAAGCACTATATTATATAGTGATTTGTGGTGTAGTGGTTTAGTTCACCGCCATACATTCTACTATTATTGTGCACGATGCACCTTCTTAGACTTTTATTTTATTTTTTATATATATTTAAAATCCATTTTCTATTGTTCTATTATTTGTCATTTTTGAAATATATGTCTTTACCTTCAGCGACCGTAGTTTCTCTTATAACTAAAATTAAAATATATTAAAAATACAATCCTTAAGAAACCTTAGTAATTAAAAATTATTATTATTATTCTACTAATAATACCTATAACAAACTGTTTACTCTCTCTGTCTCTCAGGCGCTGTATAAAATCTCTTGAGTTATATTAAATTATATTTCAATTAACTTAGCTATATAAATGTATCAAATAATGTGATAGATCTTAGATTTTCTATTCTATCAATCCTAGGATTTTATGATAAATATCATAATCCATAGTAATATAACATAATTGTAAGTATGCCTGTCTGTTTGTTATCTATATTCACTGCTGAATGACTGATCGGATCTTAATGAGACTTGAAGATAAATTTTATTATAAAGACGAACTAGGCTTGTTATGTCTAACAATTTTCAATTTATTTGATTCATTCCTATATAATTATACATTTTATCATTACATAGTATAAAATAAAGTCGCTGTCGCTGTCTGTCCCTATGTATGCTTAAGTCTTTAAAACTACGTAACGGATTTTGAAGAGCTTTTTTTTAAGTAGATAGAGTGATTCAAGAGGAAGGTTTATATTTATAATACATGTACTTCCGTGAGAAGCCGGGTCGAGAAGCTAATTACATCTTTAATATGCTTTAATCTTTAAAACTAAGCAACAGATTTTGAAGCGATTTTTGAAGATAGAGTGATTCCAGAGGAAAGTTTATTTATATAATACATGTAGGTACACCCATGCGAAGCCCGGGCGAGTAGCTAGTTCATAATAAATTAGAGATCTGAAGATGTTTGTCCCTGAATTCTACTTCATAGTCTCATGTATTTATATCCAGTACTGATAGGTGTAAATCCATTAATATCATTTCACGATAATAAAATAAGATAGTCACACTTATATAATTACACGATTAATACTAATTATAGATGTATATCGCATTTATAACAGCATCACGAGTTTAAGTTACTTATATAATATCTACATATACATATATATGTACATACAGGGCAAAAGTCAGTGATAGAATTCATAAGGCTATTAATTGGCAAAAGAAAATTCAATATGATTAGCAACATAAAAAATATACAGTTAATCTACATAAAATAAATAAACTACAAACACTTAAAATTCATAGCGCTGACAATATTATCTGATTGCACTAGGAATAAGTGCGTAGCGGTTTCAGTGTTGATTATCGCATACCTCTTACTTGTTATTGTGTAATTATTTATTTCAAGTAATATTCAACAGAGCCACACACAAGTTTCTTACTCATTCTTCTTGTGATGAGTAAGAGAATTAAGTAAGAGTTCCAAATAAGTAGTAGAATAAAAAAAATATGACTATTCAAAATGTTTGTATTGAGTTTGTTTGAATAAAGAATATTTCTATTTCTATTGCTAAAATAATATGAATGAAATTTAGTAATTATCTCTGAGAACTAAAGTAAAAATCAGAAAATGATTATTATACATTCGTACCAAGTGGAGACTGCCACTAATCGATTTGATATAGAAGGTTGGAAAAATGTTTTCTGATTTTTACTTTAATAGCAACGATTACTCAGTTCCGTAATTGTCTTTTTTATTTACTAAACATCCCCCGACGCTCAATCCCCCACTTGACTTGGTATTGTGACAAACCTTTATAATCTATATATAATTTTTTTAAATTTTGCACTATTCGCTTTAATTAGGAGAAATAAAACTCATTAAATCATCTTTCAAGCTTTAAATGTCCCGAGGTAAACGTAAACATATATTGCCTAAAAATTTCTTTATTATTTAATTTTATACTCGTACATACATGCACATATTTAGATATTGTTATTTCCATGAACTGTCAAATGAGTTAGGTGAATTCTAATTACAATATTCATTATCAATTAAGGAAATTCATAACGAATACTGTGTTTATTTTCGTTCATGTTTATTGTTATAGAGAATATAAAATAATAAGTGTGTCATTCTTGTTATCATGTCGTGCCACTTATAATCAGGCTAATGCGAGTTAGACTCTCTACAGCCCGATAACAAAATCGAAGAAATCGCGTCTTGTATTATTAAGTGGTATAATACTTATCAGTGTTTTTATTTTTTTATAACTATCAATGAAATAGGTTGCCAACTTACTAGACAGAATGATAGACTATGATTTTACCAAACTTTGTTTGTAGGGAGCACTAATTATGAACTAACTAACAGCACTTTTGGCTAATGTTATCAACACATCCAAAATTATGCCAAACCAAAGTTGTTTGGTTTATGTAACGTGGCAAAACCTTATTAATTGTTTCTAACCAGGTAATTCCTATTTATTCCTATATATTGACTCAGCGCCAGTAACAAGATGCAGTTATAGAGTATACAGGTTATACCTACCTCTATAGTTACCTAGTTACCTTTATCAGTTGAACAAGCATTTTTTTTACCTTTTTATTATACTAACTTTTCTATTTTCGCCATTGCTCTGTTTTTTCATCTCATTCCGATACATTTGCTTCGCAACTGATTTCTTCTGCTACAAACTCTTTCCTTTCTCTCTTTTCTTTGGGATTGTATTGAGTATGCTACAGCTATGGAACACTAAGCTTCCTTTCAGACTTATAGCCATTTTTCTAGAAGTTTCACTTTTACCATAAACATGTATTACTTGTTCCTATAAAGAACTTAACGAGGGAGTGTAAACTCCATTGAATATACATATAAGCAATACACCAATATAATATATCACCCAGACAGACATATGATATGTTCATAAAAACAAGTGTTTGTATTGTACCTACTAGGACATGTGACCATCAGAATTTATAGCTGTGGGTTTAACAGCTAGCGTTATTAAAGTCAAATTATCTATAACAAAAATAGAGTCGAATTTAGAAGCTCCCACTTTTGGCGGTACGGTTAAAAATCGACGGAAGCACTAAAGGGAGTTTTCATTTTTGGCGACCATTGCTGAGAGAAAAGTACTCTAAACCGTTAGTTAAGGAATTGCTATGACAACGGGTTATATAATGCCAGGGCAATTAAGCCATTGCACTTTTATAGAGCACTAGCTATTACCCGCGTTTTCATTTGCATAAACTTTCACCCCTTTCTAGATTATCTTTCGAGATAAAAAACACTCTACGTTCTCGTAATGAAATTTATCTGAATATCAACTTTAAGATTCATTCAGCCGTTTAGCCGTGATAACTTAAGAAAAATACACAGACAGATATATTTGTGAGAACTCTATTATGCCATTATTTCCAATGACGATTACTTGAATTGCTAACTACACCAGCAATCTGTTCTATTCTTTATTTATTTTATCATACTGTACAGGTATATGATCTTATTAATAAATGTCTACACAAGTTTCGACTTGTCTACAAAGGCTCTAATGACATATTAATCTGTATAAGCCAATCTAATCTATTTACTATCCTTTTCATATTCATATTAATACTAGCTCTGCTCGCGGTTTCATCTGTTCTGATGTATAAGTATATTATTGTAAAGTTTCATTCACATCTATCCATCCATTCTCACAAACTTTCGCGTTTATAACACTAGTACGATATTACCCATACGTTACTTACTTGAATGTTATCTATTATGTTAATAGTAACTATATAATAATTTTATCTTTAGTGTATCTTATTTCTATTTTTATAAAATTTTATATTTCGTTTATCAAACAACGTGAAAAACTTCTTAAGTCGTGACATTCAGTATTGATATTTTGTATAATTGAATGATACAATGGTATTGTTTTAATTAAAATTTCACATAAAATAGTGTTAATTATTTCATGTGTGTAGTAAATGTTCAGTTGATTAAAAAACGTTCTTATGTACCATGCATAAAATTTAATATTCTAATTAAGATATACACATACACAATGTACGTATGTTACACATTGAACTATAATCGTTTATCGGGCCGTG